TTTTCGACTAAGCCAACCGTAGGTTACACGAGAATTTGGATTGTGGAGCGACTGACTCGCCGTAACGCCCGATTTCACTAGTTACGACATAAGTTTTAGCTAGTTATGGCTTAAGCCGTAACATCATTGGGGATGATTCGCATGCACCTCCAATTCGGATCGTTCAGATTGAAAGTTCCGTCTCTATGCACATGAATGCTATTTTCCGCTCAGTTTCAATTACCGTATACTTCCGAAATTATTCACCCGGTTTTTAACCGATTTATGTTAATCTTATTATGTCCGAAAATAAGCATACCTATAACAAAAAAAAGTGCTTAATTTCTGAAGTATACTGAGAGCAATCTAATTTTGACAGAAATAAATTGCCTAGTTATTTTCAAAATAAGCAATGCATCAATTTTATTTCATTCTCCAGTAAAGTTGAATTATCACCTATTTTATAAAATGGAATTTCTAGACACTTCCATTTTGTTTTTTCGATTTCAAAATTTAAAAATACAAAATTTCCAATGCATCTAGAATACGCAAATATTTTTAGTTCTGAATCCTTCCCTATAGCAGACGATATAAAATTACTAATATTGATAATTTTATTGCCAATAATTGTTCATGAAATAACTCGCAGGGGTATTAAGCTTAATATTCGGAATAATGCGAATATGTGTTATTCGTTATTTCGCTAAGATAAGATGACAGATAAATAAATTCAACATACAAGGTTAGATTTGAATAAAGCTAATGAACAATATTTAGAATAACATTGATTGGTGTTAGACTTCAATAATTAAATATTTTTTTTTTAACTTCACTTGGCTTCATTTCAAATTCTAATTTTTTTTCAGAACGTTTATTAATAATATTGTATCATATTGTAGAATCAAATCCTAAGCACGCTTAAAGCAGTGTTGTCAAACGTCCTGTTCACTGGTAATAAATAATATAGTGAATGGACAATAAATGGGTGTAACAATTACCAATGAACAGGGCGTTTGACAACATTGGCTTAAAGCAACTGATATAATTTCAATTTAATTTTGAATTGCTTGAATAAATTAACTTTATTGAAATGAATGAAATTCTATAAAAAAATACCATGTGTTTTCACAAAAATATTTTAGATAAATGGAAGAAAAATCTGATTGTCGAATTCTGGATTACAATTCTGCAATTTGTCATCCCATGCATTTCCACCTGATCTACTGGTCGATTTAAGATGTTCAACGTTCATTATTAATGTATAAACAAATCGCTATATGCTGTGTTTGTCTTAATTTGACGCAGTATAAACAAACTCCGTATTCCTAATTAGGAAAAGTAAATTGCAAGTAAATTAATGGAACCAACTAAGAAAAAATAAACATTAAATTTTTGTTAAAGAATTTCCTAGTCTTTGTTAAGATCGACGACATTATATTTGCCGACTCGATTTACATTGCATTTTACCTTATTTGGGGCAATTTATGCAGCGTGTAGATCATATATTGAATTCACTCCGCTTTACCGACCCCTTATTCGTACGAAATGAACAAATAATTTTCGAGAAATATTATCAATTGTTTAATTTTGGTATATGTGACAAGTATAAAAGAATATGAAATATTTTCAAAGGAAAAAGAGAAAAAAATGGTAAAATTTATCGTAATTTTGCAGGCGATCTTAATATTAACATTATTACCATCACCGTCAACCCAACTAAGGCAATTCACGTATGAAGATTCTCAGACTGGTCTAGATCTTCTGGATAATGATAAATCTAGTGATGGAACAGTAATTTTACGTTTCGGATATCCAATTAGCCAAGTAAATGGAATTAAATGTTGGGATAAGACTATTTATCTTCGAATTATTCATCCTAACGCATCAATTAGTTTCTTTACGATTTCAAATCACGGGATTCCAGATTTTAATTTTTGTTTGAAAAATAACAAAACTACAGCTGATTATACTACAATTTGGGGATTCGATCAAGGACTTATGATTACTTATTATAATTCTTCTAATTTAATGACTTCAGCAATTATGGGACTCTTTATTAATTTTGAAGGAACTATTATAAGGTTTTGTATTTAACTATTTAAATTACATTCATAAACATTGCGAATAATGGTTTTAATACTTGTGTTCATATTACAGTACAATAAAATTGCATGATGCCCTTACAGTAAGTGGCGGTATAAAGAAATATTATGTTTTAGTCCCGAATTCCAGTTCAAGAGATGGATTTTTATTTTATTGTTGCGGCACGACAGTATTAAGCTGGAAACATTTCAATACACCGTATGTGTTAAATAATTATTTAATACTGAACATGATCATTAATAATCAGGATCCAAAATAATATTTAAACTAATATTTAAACTAAGGTTTAAACTAAAATTTAAACTAAGTAAAAATAGAATACTATAAAAATTTCACAAATAACATCGACAGAAATATTATCGGTGAAATAATTGTTTAACTATGTTGGTGAATGCATAATATTCTATCATGCAATATATAATTACTATTTTGGATCTTGATATTAATATGAAATAAATATCAACATAACAATAATATATATCTTATAATAGAAATAAAAACGGTGAAATAACCAAAATAGCTGAAAGTGGAATAATTCAAACAAACATTAGTATTGTAACAACCTCATCTTTTTATGTATTAGAGAAAGGATTTGCAATAGCTTATGGAGGAGAAGATTTACCGGTCAATCTTAACCAATCTACTGTAGACATTAATAGAAGTACTACTAATAGTGCATACATAATATTTTATTATTTCGAAACAAACACACGAATTGGACCGTTTATATTATTTCGAACTCCCACACAATTATCAAAATCGAATAACACTCAAATATTAACTCAAACTTTAACATTGCGAGGAATTATATGTAATGTTGAATTTAATGGAGCAGGAAATATATGTTGGTTATTATTGATTTCACAATATACTGCGAATGTTAATAACAATACTACCAACAATACAAATGCCAACAATACAAGTTCACAACCTGTTCAAAATCTCGCCTTAAAGATATCTTATCTTTCTTCCGGGTAATTATAAATATCATTAATAATATATCGACAATAATAAACTATCAATCTTTTAAAATTTTTTTTCTAAAAAAAATTTTAGATCGATAACAAAGCAGGGGGAAATGAAAAATACATCTAGTTACGGATATTATATTCAACCTCTTCTATTCGGTGGATATTTAATGATGGTATTTGAAGATAATTATATTTTTGGATATATTCTCGATGAAAATGGAGATATATATTGCGATTGGTCATTACCACAACCTTTAAATAATACCGCGTATAAGATGAATTATATTATGCTTGGGAATAATTCAATCGTGATTGTGGAAAATCAAACCAATTCAACTTGGAAAGTAACATCTGATGATCTATTTAAATTTACTAGCAATGGTAAAAATAATATTTAAAGATTATGTTCCCTAAAATGATTTATTTATCACTATTGTTATATGAAAATAAGATAGCATGTATTTCTGATTTATATTTTTAATTTATTTTGTTTAATAAAGATAATAAATTCAATAACCCAGTCGTAAAGTCAACGAACCCTAATTTAGGATCACAAGTAAACGAGTCCACAGGACAACTCCATATATCATTCACTTATCCTATAATTCTTTCTAGTTCAAACATTTCAATATACCAAAAAACCATTGGGTCTAATAATGACCTATTGCGCCAACGATTTCAAGGTGTTTCAGCAAATCAATTTTGTCAAATAGATCCAAATGATAATAAAACGGTTATCATAAAAGTATTTCCTAGTACTTTTAATGAACCTAATGGTTTTTATTACGTGGTCGTTGAGGATAATTTTGTAAAACGTAGTGATTCAAATGAAGCGCTTTTGGGAATTGACAAAAACTTATGGACTCTAGTCAATGGTTGTATATAATTAAATTAATTAAAAATTATTCATTTAAATTTTATATTAACGTGTTATTCTTTATTTTTAGACAATAAAAAATATGTTTATTCAAGTAATCTTCTCTTAATACTATAATCAATACTCTTAATATACTTTGTGCCAATTTAACTGTTAATTATAATTTAGATCAAATAACGGGTATTATACGTCTTACACCAGGTGGCTCTAGTTATTATCTTTCCCTGAACTCAGATGATCAACAAAAATTCCATGAAAAAATGGCTACCGACCTTTCAAATGTAATCCCCGTCGAAGACAATAGATTAACACCTATGAATGGATTCGAAAAAGACATATCCTCAGGAACATTGCAAATTTTACTTTCTTTTAAAATTCTGGATACCTCAGATTTGTTAAAGAAAAGTTCAGTCAATATATCACAAGACTTTAATACCTTGTTGAAATACAAGAAATACAGTGCTTTAATGCATTATAATACTACATCATTAATTGATGATAGTTATCCTATGACTATTGCACGTAAGTTTGCAAGTATCTTTGGATTAATTACAATTCTTCTTTTTTGGTTTTAACACAATTTTTTTCACATTTTATAAAGCATTATTTTTGAGAGATTATTTGGCGTTGATTATAATTATTATTGTCATATTGGTTATTTTAATTATATTATATTTTTTGTCTTCGTGGAGGTTTAAAGAGGTATTTTTATTTTATTTTCAAAATTTAAATAAAAAAATTCATTAAATCATTGATTTAATATTGTTATTTCCTTAGGCCGAAAATTTTACAATATTTAAATTAATTATCATCCTTGTTGACTTGGGATTACGAATTTCATTTGTAGTCTATGATGCTCGAAAAGTTCCAGAATTATGGTTGCCAAGGTTCATTCTTATTAATATTCTTATTTAACTGTTAAATATATTTTTACGTTTTTGTACTAATTTAAATTTTTTATTTGTTATTTGTTATATCACAGTTTGGTAGTCCTTATCGTGTCAACATCTATAAACATAATTTCATCAACTTTAATTATCGCTCATGAAATTGGTAAAAATTTAAAATTCAGCAAATGGTTTTCAGAATATGGTTTTCTTCTTCCATTTTTCACAATCATATCGGCGGGACATATTGAAACTCTATACGTTTTATCTTCGAAATTTTTAACGTTGAAAATATTCAGCGCTCATTTCTCAAAAACCGCAGAAAATGCTATATTTTGGGTTGGAATATTAGGTTTGATAGTTGGTATTCCACAATTCATTATTCAGGTTGGTATTTAATTGAATAAAAATAAAACAACATTATTATTAATTTTGTGCACTCACTAACATTGGTTTTATTATTCAAAAAAAAAATATCAAGTTATTATTTAGAGTAAGAACAATAACTTTCAATATTATACCACAATTAACATTAATCACGAATGCACTTATAATTGCATATAACATACTTTCTGGGATCTATAGAGTAGTATTTTGGTGCCTGCATAAATAACACTACAGTATTCAAAAATTGTTGATCAATTTAACTAAATAAAGCTTATGATGCAAGTCTAATAATTTTTTTTTTAATAAATGTATTATTCATGTGTTCCTTTCGAATGAAACTATTAATTCATCTATTAATTATTACGTAAGTGACATAAATGATTGTTCAAGTGACGTGATAATTATCGTTCAAGTGACGTGAATGATTATTCAACTGACGTGAATGTTTATTTAAGCGACGTGAATGATTTAATTATTATATTAATGCATAATTATTTAAAAATTTTTGGCAGAATGAATGTTTGTTTTGAATCTTCCTGATCGTGTTACATTACACCTAATCTTTAAATCTGATTCGTAGTCCAGGAGATCTGCACCGCCAACCCTGTACATATTTACGATATGCTAATTGCATTATGCATGACGTAATATTAAACAGTGTGATCGTGCCAATATCAAGCGCTATTCAATTAATTTCAGTCACATTAATTTAAAGGATTCACTCAATGAATCTTTAATTGAATTAGTTGACCAATTTGGTTAATTTATTCAATCACCTGTTAATTAAAAAGTCTGCTTTCGATCCATTGAGTGAGGCGCTTGAGAACCCATCAAATTGTATTTTCAATGTGGATGTGTTAATCACAATGTTTAATATACATTTGCTGATTTTGTACATGAAATAACCATTAAATTTTTATGCGCTATAAGAAAAGCCAAATTTTTATTAATAACCTAGGAGTTAAAAAAAAAAAAGAAAAAAAAATCCATTATTGAAATTATAATTGGTAAGGTTCGTAATAATAGATTAAAAAATTTTAATACAGTTATAACAAATATAATTTTTCCTATAACTTAAAATTTTAATGTTTTACTATATTCTATTATGAAAAGAATCTTCAAGTCGGTGACTTTTTACGGAGAGCATATAGCAGTGTAACGTAACTGTGCAGTTTACTAGTACTACGTAGTAACGGTAAATGCACTTACAAATTGTGTAACTTATGTAACAGACAAAGCAATTTTGATACATCGGTGCACTTACTGATACACAATATCGACATAGTTTTTTTTTTGAAATATCTATAGAGAGCATTTACTAAATTAGGAGTGGAGTATCAAACGCTGACTTAATGGAAGCAAAACGCGTTCTTGTTAAAGTTCTAATTTCGGAATAATTTAGGAATAATTTTGTACTATAAAAATACTTTAAGATTCATGCTTTTAAGTGGTGCACTTATTCACAGAGTGCATGCTTTTCTTTATATTTCTAATTATAATGCTGGATAAATAGTTTCGAATGTTAACACATTTAGATTCTTGACTTTCACAGGACAAAGAAACACAGGTTAATATGTAAATAAATTAATAAAATTATTTGTAATAGATGTCCACAATTCTCTATTTAAACGTTGAAATTTTTTTAAAAAAAATCACATCGCATTTTTTTAATTCAATTATCACGCAGTTTTAATTACTGCGATCAAACTCTCTTTAAAACAGACTGCAACTGAAGTCAACATTTTATATTCTTATTTAATTGTTTCATAGGAAAATTGAACTTATTATAGTCAAAAAAAATTTTTTCTATAAATTTCATTATGGAACCGCGTGTATTCATTATCCTATTAATCATCATCATCGTATCTTCTATGACTTCTGCAGTCCCAGTGGCTAATCCTAAGAATCATGGGCCTTCGAAGTCTCAGAATTCACCGACTCCTAGTAAGTTTTTTTTATGATAATTCATAGTGATCTTGAAGGATGATCTAATTTTTTCTTTCTCAAATTAGAATCAGATATACCATGCACTGTTGACAATTGTTTTCAGCCTCCGGACTCTCAGAATTCACCGAATCCTGATAATAATGGTAAGTTTTTGATGATAATTCATAGTGACCTTGAAGAATGATCTAATTTTTTCTTTTCACAAATTAGAATCAGATCCGCCATGCACTGTTTTCAATTGTTTTCAGCCTCCAGACCCTCAGAATTCACCGAATCCTGATAATAATAGTAAGTTTCTGATGATAATTCATAGTGATCTTGAAGGATGATCTAATTTTTTCTTTCTCAAATTAGAATCAGATCCGCCATGCACTTTTAAGGATTGTTATAAGTTTCCGAAGCCTCAAAATTTACCGAAGTCTCGAAATGCACCGAAGCCTCCGAAGTCTCGAAATGCACCGAAGCCTCCGAAGTCTCAGAATTCACCGAAGCCTTCTCATAAAAATCCAAGTAAGTTTCTTGTGATAATTCATAGTGGCCTTGAAAGATGATCTAATTTTTTCTCTTCTCAAATTAGATTCAAATCAACCATGCACTTATAATGATTGTTTTAACAATAATATTAATCTCAATAATTGATAAAGTCGAACTGGTTCGGGTTTATCAATTGTCATAGATATCAACTTTTAAAACCATGAATAGATGGTTTGTCTAGCGAATCTTATATCAATAATTGTCCTTATTTTTAATAAAATCTGATTATTATGTAAGGATAATAATCAGTAATATATCATAGTTTATGAAATTCTTTTTTTAAATTTAACGTTAAAAACATATTGTTAAATTTATATAAATTTTTTGTCATAAATTAATAAATAAATTAATAAATAAATTATTTAGAACTTGCTTATTAAATTTACTATATACATGTTTGATTAAAAAATTAATTCTTGTTGAATAATAGAAATTATTTTCTTTATTATGAAACTTGTCTGTTACTTACTTATCAGCGCTTTATTATCTTGCTACGTTAGGAGTTCGTTTCCTTTATTCACATACGGTCAGGGTATTATTATGATAATTGTCGCGGATCATAATGAAATCAGATAAAATGAAATTTGGGTTACTATTTAACCTCATAGAACCCGTTTATACTTGTTTATTATAAATCCTACTCCTAAAGTTGACCCTTAACCCTAAAAAAAAGGGTAAAACATGCATCCTAAAAATTGTATTTTCGATGGCTTTTCTATTATGTATTATACAAATTTTTATTTCTATTTCGAATACAGTATCATGTAGATAATAATAACCAAATATTATGGTTAGAATTAGTATAACCTAACTAGGAAATCCTTCTGAAACAGTCTAACGATTCTTTTTACCATAAATACTTAGGTCTGAAGCTTATTCATTGTTCAACCAATTTCTTTGTAATGCTATAAGCAGATCATAAATTAAACAGCTAGAACGATTTCATTGTAAAAATGTAAATAAATAAAAATATAAAAATAAAGTTACAAGACTAATATTAATTTATTAAGGTTTATACTGTTAAAAATTTTACAGTAGCTACCCAATTTTGCTAATAAAATTAAAACTTTACCCACATAATTCAGGTCAATATTTTCATAATACAGACTTGGCCACTATTATTAAGTACTTGTGCCTTAAGGTAGAGATGGATTTAATCCTTAAAAAATCGAACAAGGAAGTATTTTTTTAACTGGTCATACGTTTATTTGAATTCGGTCTTAAGACCAGTTAGGATCGGTCTTTATGGATAGTTAAAATTTCTAATTAAAAATCATTAAAAAAAGTATGTTATATAATCCCGACAAGCATAGGTACGAATGGTCATCTGTTTGGAAGAATGTCGGCTCCGATTTTCAGAAACAATGATCACATTTCTGATGAGTTGTAATAACGATAAATGGTTATATAATTTATCAGGCTGTTTAAATCAATTTAATTTTACATTATTTATACAGTTTAAGGTTTTTTTAAAAAAATAACATTGTGAAGAATGAACAAAAAGAAGTATATAGAAAGTTTTATTCGCTATTATGCTAACTTCTCTAAAACCAACAATGATTTTGATTATTTTTAATGGTTGAGTCCTAAAACTCTAATAAAACTTCTTATACACTCGTTTTTTGTTTATTCTTTATAGTTTTATTTTTTTAAAGTACTTTCAACTGCATAAATAATGTTTAATTATATTGATTCAGGCCATTCTCAAGCACCTCCTTCCATGTGATTGCATAGTGTTGTGTTCGGAATATAGTTGTTAGGCGAAACTGTTTTTCACAAATGGCGAAACACGAAACCTAAACCCGGCGAAACACGAAACTGGCGAAACTCCGGCGAATGGCGAAACTCCTGGCGAATGGCGAAACCCCTTGCGAATGGCGAAACCCCTAGAGAAAGACGAAGCCCAAGCTCTCCGCAAGTTTAAATTCTCTAAGACTTTGGAGAATTAAATATTGTATGTGTCGATTAAGCATTGCATGCGCACATATGACTCATATAAAAAATATACATACGTACGTACCTGAACCAAGCACAGCATATGGCTTGTATAAAGAAATGTACTTAAGTCATGTTGGTGGATGAAAATATTTGCATGAGTATTAATACGGCATGTGGTTCATATAAAGAAATATATACAAGCCATGTTAGTTAATGAAATATTTGCATATAGTTACATATTAGACACAGCATATGACTTATATAAAGAAAAGTACCTAAGTCATGTTGGTAAATGAAAAATATCCTAACTATTAAATATAGCATGTGGTTCATACAAAGAAGTCATGCTGAATTAAATGTTTATATATGACTATTAAGTACAATGTATGGTTAATATGAAGAAATGTACCTAAGTTATGTTGATTAGTAAAATATTTGTGTATAACTATTAAGTACAGCATAGTTTATATAAAAAATATATCAAAGTAAAAAAAAAGGTATCTTTGTGTTGTATTTGAGTATTTTTAAAAGAAAATTAGATTTCAGGTATTTGACTTATAATTAAATCAACTTTAAAAATTTTATGCTTGAAATTTTATTTTTTTTAAATGTATTTATTTATATAAAAAAAACTTAAGATTTTTTTTTCACCTTCTTTTACTATTATAAAGGTCCTTAAACATCTTTAAAATCTGTCACATCTCTTAAAGATCAGAGTTATCATTTTGCAAAGATTATCAAATAGTATGTGATCTCTGTTATTACTAAACTTATAAGATAATTTATGCTTCATCAAGTCTAAAATATGATGTTCTGGGTCTCTGGTTCCATAGTGTAAAACCTAATATCTTTTTTAATTCACAGTTCTCTAACTTCATATAACCTACTAACTGGATTATTCATATACTTCAAAGTTCTTGATTCTACTATTATATATTTTTAAATTAAGCTCTATCAATATTAATGTTATTTATTGACATATTATGTCTTATCTGGTTGTTTCTAACTCTGTGGCTATGCTAATGACTGTATTTTTTTTGTATAAATCTTGTTTTTGTTTTTAAATAAAAATCTTTTGCATATCTTTTTTTCTAATTATAATTTATTGTTACCTTTCAAACTTAAACTTATAAACTTATGATTAAGACCTGAGAGTACTAACTACTGTACTATCAATTTATAATTACTTTAAGATTTTTTATTAAATTATTTAAATAAATTAATATTGTATATATAAAAAATCTAAGATTTTTTTATTTAATTATTTAAATAAATTTTATTGTTAAACTATTAAAAATGTCTTTAATATTTTGTTATCTAAATTTTAAGTGCTATGCATATGTAAGCAATTTCTTAATATTATTATTACTAACAATTATTTCTTAGAATTAGTTTTAATTGTTAAAAAAATAATTATTATGTTATCAACTTATAATAAATCAAATTAACTAAAATTTAAATTATTAAAAATTAAAAAATATTATGTATATATCAAATTAAAATTTATAGTGTATTAAAATTTAAATATTAAAATTAAAATATATAAAAGTCAATACTAAAAAAGTAATTAAAATCTATTTTTACTATTAAATAAAAGAGTTAAACCAATTTAGATTCTAAAGTTAGTAAATTAAGATAAAATTACTAAAATAATTGCATAATATTGTTATACAAAATTAGAAATAAGAGATGTAAGAAGTATTGTTATCATATTTTGTATTTAGTAAATTTTATAGATTATTGCAATATTAAACATATGATTAATACTTTGAAATAATAATATTACAAATTTAAGTATAGTTGTAATATATTTAAAATTTTATTCAATATTATTGATTTTATTTAAATTTTGATTATAGTTTTTAAAAACTTAGACTATAATACTCTAAATTATAATTACAAAAATAATTATAATATAAATAAAAAATTATTATTTCTTGATCAAAAACTTTATTTTTATTACTAATCTAATAAAGAAATATATAAGAATATGTTTACCATCTAGAAACTCCATTCTGATATAAACAAAACTAAAAAAATAGTAGTTATACTAATTTTAAAATATATATAAACTATTACTTATATAGTAAAAAAGAGAATTAAATAATCAATTGTAATATCATTTTAAAGAAAATATATAAAAAAATACTTAATATATGAATAGATTCTTGTATAACTATTGCAACTATAAAACTAATTATAAGGTTTTTGTATTGCCAAATCAACTATAAAGTTTAATTTGAAGATTCTTGCATATTAATACAGTTGTAAGTGATTGTATATATTAAATATCAAGACTATATAATAATATTTAATACAACTAAGAATACAAAGATTAAAGATAAATAATATTTGAGTTGTAGTAACTTAATGAAGTAGATAGGTTGTTAACACTCCAAGTAGTAAAATGGAAGTTCAAAACTTACTGATAATAAAAATTTAGAAAAACTACTTATACAATAACAGTATTATAAAAAGTAAGCAGTATTATAGCAATAGCAATTTATTGATCAGTTGAAATAAGATATTTGTAACTATGATCACATCAGTATGACTGGCAGGTTATAGGACATCTATGCAATATTGAAGTTATATAGAAAAATGCAAACCAGCATTGGGTAGTGCAAACCTAAAATAAGTTCTTATAGTTATATAAATCTATAGAACTAATAAGCTAAAATCCACTTAAAAAGATTTAAATAAAGAGTAATACAGATCTTTGATAATATTACTGTAAAGACTAGATCTAAAAAATTAATATCAATATAAAAGAGATCAGATGAATAAGAACCTCTATAAAGGGTACTACCAACTAGGTTATTAGAAGTCTTGAATCAAAAAAAAAGATTTGGAAGGC